CACAATGCATTAAAAAAAAGAGTATGTATCAATAAAATCCTTCAGCCGTATGCACAGCTAAAAAGAACAGTTTTTAGCCCTGATTTAAAAATTGCCAGAGTAGATGCTAGCCTCACATCTTCAGGAAGATTGTTCCAGATTTTAGCTCCATAAATCTCAAACGCTGCCTCCCCATGTTTAGTTCTGACTCTTGGAACCAGTAAGAGGCTACCTCCTGTGCTCCTCAGAGTCCGGGTCGGTTCATTTGGGACTAACAAGTCGCTTAAGTACCCTGGTGCGAGGCCATGGAGAGACTTGTACACAAGCAGTGCTGCTTTGAAGTCTATTCTCTGAGCCACAGGAAGCCAGTGCAGAGACCTGAGAACTGGACTAATGTGGTCATATTTCCTGGTCCTGGTCAGGACTCGAGCTGCAGCATTTTGGACATACTGCAGTTGTTTTACAGCCTGTTTGGAGAGACCTGTGAGCAGGCCATTGCAGTAGTCTAACCTACTGGAGACAAATGCATGGATGAGAGTCTCCAGATCTGATTTAGACACTATGTTTCTAATCTTGGCAATGTTTTTCAGATGGTAAAATGCTGCTGATGTTACTGATCTGATATGACTGCTAAAATCCAAGTCTGAGTCCATCATAACTCCCAGGTTTCTGACCTTGCCTACAGGTTCCAGGGAGAGAGACTGGAGGTGACGAATAACGCTCTCTCTTTGTTTCTGAGGACCAAAGACAATCAATTCTGTTTTGTCTGCGTTTAGCTGAAGGAAGTTATTTTGCATCCAATCACTAATCTGTTGAGTACAGTGAAGGAGTGATTCCACTGGTCCATGTTCTCCTGCAGTAAGTGAGACATAAATTTGAGTGTCATCAGCGTAATTGTGGTAGGATACATTGTTGGAGCGTATTAACTGACCTAACGGCAGCATGTAAATATTGAACAGAAGAGGCCCCAGAATTGATCCCTGTGGCACTCCGCAGGTCAGAGCCATATGATCTGAGACACAGTTTCCTATCTGAACCAAGTATTTCCTGTCTTCTAGGTAAGACCTAAACCAACTTAGGGCAGTCCCAGTGACACCCACCCAGTGCTCTAGTCTCTGCATGAGGATCTCGTAATGTCAAATGTAGCCTCCTGCTGGTGCCCAGAATCAGGACTAAACATGGGGAGGCAACGTTTCAGATTTATGCAGGTAAACTCTAGAACGGTCTTCCTGAAAAAGTGAGACAGGCTTCTTCTCTGAGAATGTTCAAATCCAAGTTAAAACAGTTCTGAATGACTGTATCTCGTTCTGCACTTCTCTTGTGTATGACCATATCCCAAATAAAACTTGCCTTACCTTGATCATTACTTGTTCCCTTCTCCACTTCAATGCCACCCTCTTCGTCCACCAGAGGGCACTGTTCACTTGCGTAATATTCTCACTTCATGACTCCACATTCTTAACCGCTTTCTCTCCGCTGAGATTTTGGAAAACCTATTTTTCTATAGAATCCAAACGACACTGTGGCACGGACCATGGGCGGGTCATCATCATCTTCATCTTAATCATCAGCCTCCAGCTCAAAGGAGGAGGAGGCCAGACCTGGAGCTTGGCCAGGGATCTCGGAGACGGGTCCCGGGGGCGTTGGTCTGAGGTGGCGCCCGCTGCTCCGGACAGAACAGAGACATTGAAGGATCAGAGACGCACCGGAGACAATAGAGTTTAACTTAGACCTTGTGCTGTGACCTCAGGAGGAGAGAGAGACACAATGGAGAGATGGACAAGGCACTGGCAGCGCGACAATAGACAGTTTTAGAGCTAATTGGACAAGTTTGAAATAGGGAGGGCTAAAAGGTTCGAGTCTGGCAAGAATAATACAGCACCAGAGGAAGCAGAAGGAGTGTGTGTTTTTTAAAATACAGTCAAAAGGTGTTAATGTGTCAGATAAAAAGTGTGGAAAAAATGGCAGAGAGAGAGAGAGAGAGAGCAAAATACAGTATACTCTCGTGCAGGAAATATATAACTTTTTTGCCCATAGTGTTATAAAAAACTATGTCCCATTAATTAAATGGATACAGACAATCCCCAAATCCACAATATTTCGCAGATGGATCATAGTTTTTATTACAATGTTGATCAAGAGAAAACAAAATCAAGTAAAAACAAGTAAAATAGAAGAAAATAAATAAGTAAATAGAATATAGAAAGTGTCACACTCAACCCATTTATACATGAAATTAAATAAAAGGTGTGCACGTGTCCTGAAAAAGTGCGAGGATAAACACCTGTGGAAACATCTGTAATACTTCATTAATAATTATCTTTGCAGGTTCAAATATTCATTCATATGGAACTTCAGTGTAATTACTGCAAATGTTCGTAAATTGGCCCAAAGCTGCGTGTGACAAACTGGGCAATCAGCGGCATTTATCCGTGAGCTGAGTGAGTGTTGCTCTGGCCTAGACTGTGCGCGACGCCTCAGAGCCAAACATTTACCAAGGTCATGGAGCCGAGGAATGCGCGCATTATTAATCCCACTGCGGCCTCGGGTTCTCTCTCTCTCTCAAATGTGCTGTTTCTGCGCAAACACGAACTGATATTGATATGTTTTGGCATCACGTCTGAGCCTCATGTCGGCACAAGGAGACTGTGACAGCAACAGGACAGAGAGAAACACAGAGAGAGACAGAGAGAGGCAGAGAGAGACAGAGAGAGACAGAGAGAGGCAGTGAGAATAAGAGCGAGAGACATGATAGACACAGAGAGAGAGGCAGAGAGGCACAGAGAGAGGCAGAGAGAGACAGAGAGAGACAGAGAGAGGCAGAGAGAGACAGAGAGAGACAGAGAGAGGCAGAGAGAGACAGAGAGAGGCAGAGAGAGACAGAGAGAGACACAGAGAGAGACACAGAGAGAGACACAGAGAGAGGCAGTGAGAATAACATAGAGCGAGAGGCAGATAGACACAGAGAGAGAGACAGAGAGAGGCACAGAGAGAGACAGAGAGGCAGAGAGAGACACAGAGAGAGGCACAGAGAGAGACAGAGAGAGACAGAGAGAGGCAGAGAGAGGCACAGAGAGAGACAGAGAGAGGCAGAGAGAGGCACAGAGAGAGACACAGAGAGACAGAGAGAGACACAGAGAGAGACAGAGGCACAGAGACACAGAGATAGACATAGAGACGCAGAAAGACGAGACCTGAGCAGCTTTGGTTTTAATCAGACAAGGATCATGGGTAACATGCAGGTACGTAAGAATACATACGTGACTTCTGGTGTAGGCCTGTGTTCACTTTAACGTAATTCTGCATCAGACTTTACAAAATTGTGGATTCACCAACAACAGATCAGAGAATCGGTACGAATACAGGATTTTCAACAAAAAAAACAAAGACAGTTATTGGTCATAGCGTGATGACTGCTGTCCATAAATGTGAATAAATGTCCTCGATCATCACTGTCCTTAGACTCTCCTGCATCTGCAAAGGACCGAGTTAAAGAATAAGAAACCTCGAGGCCCAAGAGAGAGGAACCCGCTCACGGACGGACAGACGGACGGACGGACGGACGGATGGACGGATGGCTGTAGATCCAGGACTCCTTCAAACAAAATTTATGAAACGAACGATATGTATTCCAGCTTTAATTACAGGTGCCTCAGTGATTAAAAAAAAAGATTTCTCGGAGACTTTTCTCTCCACATGAGCTTTTGTCACGCACGCACACACACACACACACACACACTCACACGCACGCACATTGCATCACGGAAAAGACTCAGATCTGGAGATATTTTGTGTTGACATTCACTTCGTGCCACTTGTCCCCAGTGTTTATTGCCTGTGCGTAAAGTACGTAACGTGCGTAACGTGCGTGTGGCGCGCGGTGAGTGCAGTGTTTATGTTTGACACTTGTTAAAGGATCATTAGCAGCTAATGTGCTAATAACATGTTTACACCCGCAAAGCGCAGTCATTATGCGCCATTATCTGAACAAGACATTTCAAAAAACAGGTTTTTATTTTCCCCAAAGTCTTTGGAGCCACCAACCACCAACCACATGTAAAGTTCTGAATTATTTCATACTCTTAAGGCGCCAGAGTTTGGTTTATGCTCCAGAAATGTGATGTGACGGTGGAGCCCTAAAACTGTACTGAGAGAAAAAGAGAGAAAATAATGAGTCTATAATATGATAATGTAACAGAGGGACATGACTTCTACAGGTAATTATTGTATCTAATTGAACACAAAAGTTCTTGGTCTTACTAAAGCACTCGAACTTTGTGGAGGTGGGGTTCTCATACAATTTTGGCTTTAGTCGAATTCAATACTGTGATATTGTATACTGCTATTGGAAAATAAACAAATAAATACACGAACTTAATCATTTCAGGAAAACTAAACACCAAATCAACTCTTTAAAAAAAACTGGGCCCTGGTTTTTAGTTGTCCTTCAAGTATAGGCATTTGGATTTGTGCAATGTGGCTCTGGCTCATATGGTCTGTGCGTAATTACGCGCTGGTAGCAGTCTTCTGATGGAGACTGTTAAAAGATGAATTCTATCTATCTATATCTATCTATCTGTCTATTTCTAACCATCTAATCCTAAATCTATACGGTCTAAAGAAATCCCATAAGTATAACAAAGTTGTGTGTCTCTTTACTCACGCCTTCATGTGTTTATAAGAGGGGGGAGTGTGTGTGTCTATAATGGGAGGGGGAGAGGCGGGGGGGAGTCGAGGGCAGACAGAGGTGTGTCCCTGGAGAGTGTCTTGAATGGACTACCTGCGGCGCGCTGGTATAAATCCACCTCCCTCTTGAGCCAAAGGCCATCAGTCCTGAGAGAGACACAGAGACGCTCTTCATCTACTCCTGGGACTCTTCTTTCGGGGTCTTCTTCTTTACATTTTTTTTGGGGTGGGTTGTGGAAACTATTATTATGAACGCGTTTAGCCACCACCCTGCAGGGCCGAGCGCGCAACAGAGTAGCCCCATCCAACCCCACAGCGCGCAGGACTTACTCGACATGGCCGTGTACTGCGACAACTACGGCGTCTACCAACAGAACCTCCACCACCACCACCAGAGGCCCGCAGCAGCCACCTCTGGATACGGCCTGCACGGAGACTACACCCCGCCACCAGCCTCCACGAACCCGTATCTGTGGCTCAACTCCCCGGGAATCAACTCCTCCGCGTACCTCACCGGGAACTCCTCATCCTCCTATATGCAGCCTGCAGGGTACGGATCCAACCACCAGCGGCAGTACCTTGCACCTCCCGCGGGGTTTGGAGGCGCGGATCTCGGGTGGTTGTCCATCTCCAGTCAGCAGGAGCTCTTCAAGATGGTCAGGCCGCCGTATTCCTACTCCGCGCTCATCGCCATGGCCATTCAGAACGCCGCGGACAAGAAGCTGACGTTGAGCCAGATCTACCAGTACGTGGCCGACAACTTCCCGTTCTACAAGAAGAGCAAAGCGGGCTGGCAGAACTCTATCCGCCACAATCTGTCACTCAACGACTGCTTCAAGAAAGTGGCCCGGGATGAAGACGATCCAGGTGAGAGCCCAGACCCGCTCGTGACGAAAAATTATAGGCATTGTTTTAAATATATAGCTCTACACATATTTATTCCAAAAAGTCTCTTTTCGCTTATGTTTTGGATTGAAATGCCAATATGGGAAATATATTTGAGAGAAAATTGTATTTGTTCAAAATTGGGGAAATCGTTGGTGTCACAGATCACATAGGAAGGATGCAGAAACATATTGAGTTGCGCAGGTTCTTTCATAATGAATTTGATTAGTGAAGGTTTCTGTTATTTCTGCTACTATTTTGACTAGAAATGTGAAGTGAAACAGGCAAATATTGGCGCCCTGAAACTTTATAAGAGATGTACTTACATAAATAAATCAGTCAATAAATAATAATAGAAATAAATAATAGACAAAAACACAGAGAAACGTTTGTGGAAAGCCAGATGTATAGAGACGTCATTCAGAGGCGCATGAAGACGTTCTGGCGCCTGAGGGTTATTTGACAAATCTATTGGAAGGAAATTCTATGTGAAAATGACTTATTATAGGCCTCATTCTCAGGTCAATGCCCTTACCGTAGATTTAAACGCATAGGCGAGTTCCAAAATTGTGCGTAAAGTTGTGCGTTAAAATAAAGTTTGACCATGAGAGGCGCCAAAGGTACAGTCACATGCATTCAATCTTTCAAACATAAGATAAACAACATTATAAAATTAAATAATCAGCAAAATACATAAATCCACATTTCTTCTTTCTTCTTTCTTTTGCTCACTTACTTGACGCAAAAAATGACGTCAAGCAACAATATATTGAGATTTTTCATTTGCTTCTTTTTATGCTGAAGCAATAGATATTTTATTTAATTTGAGTTATTATTCAATTATCTTGTGCTGTGTGCTCCCCATTCCAACTGTTTTGTAACTTGTGATGCAACACTGACATTTCCTATGCACTGTGGGACCAATAAAGGATCTTTTTTTGTCTTAATCATAACTTAATTCAAATTAGCAAAACAACACCGCTGACCGCTGCATGTCTCTCCCACAGGGAAAGGAAACTACTGGACTCTGGACCCAAACTGCGAGAAGATGTTCGACAACGGCAACTTCCGCAGAAAGAGAAAGCGACGCGCTGACGTCACGGGAGCGGACAGCACCACCGCGTCGCCCCCTCCGCCGCCGCTCAAACCCTCCGACACGCCGCCTCACAAGCTCTCCGACACGGCCAGCCTGCTCAGCTCCTCCCCGCTCAGCATGCACGGCTCCCCGACTTCCACCGAATCCAAGTCCTCGCCGTCCCCGTCCCACGCAGACCACGTCAGTCCGTGTTTCAGCAGCTTCGTGTCCAACGTCACTTCGCTTTTGCAGGCGGAGAATCTTCAAAGCAGAGATGGAGGGGGTGGGGGGTCCGGGCATCATCTTACGGGACTGTCCCAGGGCAGAGAGGGCATGCATGGACTTGGTTCGTACTCTCCCTCGCTGATCTCTCCCCTGAACTCTGAGAACAACAGAATGAGCTACTACTCCTCTGTGCAGAGTCTGTCCAACCATTTCAGCGTCAACAACCTCATCTACAACAGAGAGGGCACCGAAGTCTGACTCTTTCCACTTTGTGCCGACTTTACCACACATTTCAGTGCCTTTTTTTTTTTTTTACATATTGTAAAAGTCTGTGTGTTGAATCAACCCTTATGTACAGATAATATTGTGTAAATTCTTTTTTATCGGACGTGTTTTTGTATATTTAAAATGATCAGTGTTTTTTTCATTAAAATTGTTATTTTTTAAATGGTGTTTCTCAGTTCAATTTAATTCAATGTGTTTTTTTGTATTGCTCTAAATCACAGCAGCAGTTGCCTCGGGAGACCTGTCGATTCCTCAGCAGCAGATCAGAGAATCAAACCGTTCAAACGCACACATGGAGCCATACTATATAGGCAGGAGAAGTAATGTCCATAAATGTTAATAAATGTCCCGGATCATCACTGTCCTTATCCTCCTGCAATAGCAAAGAAATATACTACTAAACGCAACAGGTGTTTTATTCCCCTTTCGACCAATGATCAAACTATAGTCCACCATATAGTGTTTAATTCAAATATTATACAGCCCTATACTCCATGTGATTTATGAGTCAGGTTTGTGTCCTTGCAAGCCCTCAGTAAGGATCCAGGCTTTTATCTGTCCCTCTCTGTAAGTAAGTAAGTAATCTTTATTTATATACCGCCTTTTCACTGCAGATCTGAGTCTCAAAGTGGTTTACATTTGTTAATTTTTGGGCATTTGTCTCTCACTCCACACAGAGATGGGAGCGGGGTCGCCAGTACAGGAAGCGCATGCCAGAACTATTGGACATATTTTTAGTGGTAGGGGAAACCGGAGTACCCGGAGGAAACCTACACAGACACAGGGAGAACATGCAAACTCCACTCAGAAAGGCCCTAGTCTGACCAGGATTCGAACCCAGGACCTTCTTGCTGAGAGGCGAGAGTGCTATCCACTCAGCCACCGTGCCGCCGCTGTGTACAATAGACCCTAAGTATGAAAATAAATCTTAATTTAACCAAGTATTGTGTCAAGGCAAGGGAAGTGTATGTATAGCACGGCTCACACACAAAGCCACTCAGAGAGAAAACAATCATACAAATCATAAATAATCTCAGAACATTTAAAAAGAGTAAAGATACAATCCTTCAGTTATAGTTACACATGCAGAAGCCTGTCTCACATTTTCAGGAAGACTGCAGATTTTAGTTGCATGAATCTGAAACGCTGCCTTCTTATGTTTAGTCCTGACTCTGGGCACCAGCAGGAGGCCAGTCCCTGTGCTCCCCAGTCCCAGCAGGAGGCCAGTCCCTGTGCTCCTCAGAGACCCAGCAGGAGGCCAGTCCCTGTGCTCCTCAGAGTCCCAGCAGGAGCCCAGTCCCTGTGCTCCTCAGAGACCCAGCAGGAGGCCAGTCCCTGTGCTCCTCAGAGACCCAGCAGGAGGCCAGTCCCTGTGCTCCTCAGAGTCCCAGCAGGAGGCCAGTCCCTGTGCTTCTCAGAGACCCAGCAGGAGGCCAGTCCCTGTGCTCCTCAGAGTCCCAGCAGGAGGCCAGTCCCTGTGCTCCTCAGAGTCCCAGCAGGAGGCCAGTCCCTGTGCTCCTCAGAGTCCCAGCAGGAGGCCAGTCCCTGGGCTACTCAGAGACCCAGCAGGAGGCCAGTCCCTGTGCTCCACAGAGTCCCAGCAGGAGGCCAGTCCCTGTGCTCCTCAGAGTCCCAGCAGGAGGCCAGTCCCTGTGCTCCTCAGAGTCCCAGCAGGAGGCCAGTCCCTGGGCTACTCAGAGACCCAGCAGGAGGCCAGTCCCTGTGCTCCTCAGAGTCCCAGCAGGAGGCCAGTCCCTGTGCTCCTCAGAGACCCAGCAGGAGGCCAGTCCCTGTGCTCCTCAATTTGAGTTCAACTTGTGACCAAATATTTCACATTAATCTCTCATTTCCAGAATCAGGCCTACATGTTATTTAAATGGAGAGAAACGTACTGTATTTGTGATACAGTTTTGCTTTGACTGCTAAGCCTCAGTGTGTTCAGGAGACACGCACGCGCTCAGAAACGCGTCATGACGTTAGAACCACGGGCCGCAGGAGCTCGGGCTACGGCGCAGGACACATGTATTTTTCGCCCATCATCTCCGAGGGCCACGTCCCAGAGCGCGTCCTCCGCTGGTCCATCAAAGTTCAGTTCTGGTCTGGGCGCTTCATGGTCCGCTCCTGTTTCATGTCCGTGTGGAACAGCCCAGTTTTTTAAACTTTTTCAGAACATGCAAACTCCACTCAGAAAGGCCCTGGTCCGGCCGGGATTCGAACCCAGGACCTTCTTGCTGAGAGGCAAGAGTGCTATCCACTCAGCCACCGTGTACGCTTTAATGACCCATGAAAGATTTCATACATGACAAGACATTTCTAATCAGCAACAATTTTGAAGTTCGAAACACTGTTAAATATACAACATATATGAGGCCCTACACTGCATGGAGCCATTTACGAGTCAGGTCTGTGGCCATGCAAGCTGCGTATGAAAATCACTGAGATATATTTGAAAACACTGTAAAAACTGATGACATATGATTTTTGTTGACTATTCAAGAATCGAGAATCAAGAATTGACCTATACACTCCTTCTCTCTGGAAAGACGGTTTTTGTATTACTTTGCTCGTCCTATTAACACATCTTGTTTTAAGGTTGTCAACATATGCTCAAATTAAGATAAATGTTGCCAAATTTCAGCAATTTTTGCAGTGTATCATCCAAACCGTGAACCTCACTTTCAGTATTCTATCTTCCATCTGCTGTTTGACATGAGTCATGCCCAGTTTACGTTGAAAGACCAAAGAACTTTGTTTACTTACTCGCTATTGTTAATCTCTCTCTCTCTCTCTCTGACTGTCTCTCTTAGGCCCGAGACAATGCGGCAGTAAAACGCTATAGTTGGATGTCGGTTCATACGGAGACTGTGTTCCAGGTGAAAATGTAAGAGTTAAGATCCAGCCTGCAGTGAGGGGCTCAGGTACTCTTTCACACCCGAGTGAGGGATAAAGGTGTGAATTCCCTGCCTGATCTGACCCCCACCTCCCCGCTGCTGTAGGTGCTGATGTACATTTGGACATGCGCAGTAGCCGAGAACAAACGTAAAGAACAAGGCGGCGGGTTCACTAACTAGCTACGTGGGCTTCGAGCGCTACACGGAGGAGGATTCTACTCCTTCGTTCGTCCAATCGAGACCACGCAAAGCCCTATGCTCAGTTTATTTTTTTTGCAGATGCTGTTAAAATACAGAATGATGTTGGTGCGTTCTTCCACCTCTGGGCTGGGGCTCACGTGTTGTTAAGTTCCTCTGCCCACTACTGGCCGGGCGCTAGAGCTACATCGTTTTTGATCCTTGTATGAACGCTGTAACATTTGCATTAGGAGCCTGGTCGTTTCTGTTAATAGCTTGGCAACTTCTGCACAGCACCTCCGTCTAAACTGGGCCTGGGCCTTAGACCATCGTGAGAAGGTTAGTTTTACCCTATACTGATAATGTTTTATTTATTTTATTGTTTATTTGGTTGGGACAGCACATGTTAATACATCACTCCGGATTGTTGCCATGGGTTATTTCCATCCATTGTCCCACATTTGCACTCACAAACACACACTCATTCACCTTGAACTATTGCACATGTTTTTAATGGTAGAGGAAACCTACACAGACACGGGAAGAACATGCAAACTCCACTCAGAAAGGCCCTGTTCCGACTGGGATTCGAACCCAGCACCTTCTTGCTGAGAGGCGAGAGTGCTTTCCACTCAGCCACCGTGCCAAGTGAATAGCACAATGTGTTGTTGCAATAGTAATCCTGCTCTCTCTCTCTCTCTCTCTCTCTCTCTCTCTCTCTCTCTCTCTCTCTCTCTCTCTCTCTCTCTCTCTCTCTCTCTCTCTCTCTCTCTCTCTCTCTCTCGGCCTCTTGCATGCGATGTCTTTTGAAACCAGAGCCTGCGAATAACCCGGGTCTTTAGCGCCCTGCTACGTCCTTGTTTGTCCTCAGAGTGGACATGCACAGAAAGCACAGAGTGTAAATACAGAGAAACACCTCGTAATTGGGTCGTAATTGAATCCACTCAAGCGCTCCGTGCTCAGAATGAAAGGAGGATTAATTGACAAGACTTTCGTGCCTCTCTGTCATTGACGGCAAAACAATGGGGTCCTGGCATCTCCGCCGCCCCCCTCCTGAGCTCAAATGAAAATATTGTCATCTGAAAAATCTGGGAACACTTTCGGATGCTATTATCTCCGCAGCAGCGACGAGACAAAGAGGATATTTGTACAAACAAGAGGGTTCTCACACTGCAGGGCCACAGCTGACATCGGCCTCACTGGGGAGTGGAGAGAGACCAGTGAGAGAGAGAGAGAGAGAGAGGAGAGAGACCAGACCAGAGAGAGAGAGAGACCAGAGCAAAGAGAGAGAGCGAGAGGCTGGAGTTTCAGGTGATGTCATGTTCATCAGACTGAGAGAGTTAGAAGAAATGAGATGATCTGCTTGTTTTCAGTGGAAAAGGTGACTGTAACCCTGCAATAATAGTTTTTTATCCCACTGGTTTATAGAGTCGTTTCTTTCCGCTGCAGGACGGTCCAGGACAGGGATGATCTGGACATAAACATGAATAAACAGTGATCCTCGTTCTCCCGATGGATCAATGGCTCCAATGTGTTTGTTATTGTTGCAATTCCTGCGTGCTATGTGGCAAACCTAACCCCTCACCCGGTTTGATTCTCTGATCTGTTGTTGATAAATCAGCAACTTTGTTTGTCCTCCGAAATAAGGGCTGTTGTGATTTAGCGCTATACAAAATTTAAAAAAAGAATTGACTATACAGCCGCATCCGCTCCCACTGTAGCACCTGGTGTTTCCCAGAGGTCTCCCATCCCGGCACTAACCAGGCCCTTTCCTGCTTATCTTCAGAGGCCTGGCTTTCACATGCAAGTGTAACCACACATCTGTATCAGTACATCATCCATCAGAGAGTGTCATGGAGACGAGCTTTTCTGTTTCCAGAGATAAATCAGAGTCCTGTGTGTCGCTAAGTGCAGTCCTTCATTCTTTCTGCAAAACATTTCTCATTCTTTCTCGACAATAACAAATATCTCCTCGTTCCTGAATTAGCTCCTGACATTTGTCCATTAGCTCCTGACTTCCTGTGTGTTCCCCAAGTTCGACCTGTTCCCAGCCATCTCACTTCTCCCGAAAAGTAACGCCCGATCGCCCCCAAAACCCCGGAGGCCACTGTCCCACATGAATATCACTCAGGCCCCTGCACTCCCCCCTCCCTCCCCCTCAGGCTGCAGAGCTGGGACCCCCCCCCTCACAGTGGTGGCCTCGTGCTGACATACGCCTGGTGGGCTAAACCTATAATAACGGGTTCGCTCCTCAAAGGCTGATGCGGCGCTGGGGCGAGGCTGCGACGGCTGTAATTGAAGGAGACGGTGTTTGAGATTATTTTAATCCTTTTTCTGAATAGACAGAGACGCAGCTCGGGCCACACCGACTCACAGATACTTCCTGATACAGAAGAGAATGTAGGGTCAGAGAGTGTTTGGGCCTGTGTGTTGTCTCCAGACATTAGTGACATGTTAGTCCCGTATGAACTCGGACTCTGAGGAGCACAGGGACCGGCCTCCTGCTGGGACTCTGAGGAGCACAGGGACTGGCCTCCTGCTTGGACTCTGAGGAGCACAGGGACCGGCCTCCTGCTGGGACTCTGAGGAGCACAGGGACCGGCCTCCTGCTGGTGACTCTGAGGAGCACAGGGACTGGCCTCCTGCTGGGACTCTGAGGAGCACAGGGACCGGCCTCCTGCTGGGACTCCGAGGAGCACAGGGACCGGCCTCCTGCTGGGACTCTGAGGAGCACAGGGACCGGCCTCCTGCTGGGACTCTGAGGAGCACAGGGACCGGCCTCCTGCTGGTGCCCAGGGTCAGGACTAAGCATGAGGAGGCCGCATTTCAAATTCCTGCTGCTAGAGTCTGGAACAGTCTTTCTGAAGGTGTGAGACAGGCCTCTTCTCGCTGTGCATACAACTGAGGGATTTTATATTTTTATCTTTTTAATGTACTGTGATAAATTATTATTTTAATTCTATCTTATTTTGTTCAGCACTTTGAGTTGCCTTGTGTGTGAATCGTGCTGTACAAAAAAATTTGCCTTGCCTAGTCAGAGTGTGTGTGTGTTTTGTCTTATCCGTCTTATACCATCAGTGGTAGTATATTGTACAATTATTATATAGTACCGTTGTATGTTTGAGAATACTACTGCATGTTGTTAAAACAGTGTATTTGCAATGGGGGTTGGAATCCATTAAGTATTTTCTTCATCCAACCCCTTTTCGAAACAGGTACGAGTTTATTTGTGTGTTATGTTGATATATGTAAAAAATAAGTATGGTGCAGGTTCAAAATAAATAAAATAATACCAAAAATGAAAAATATTTATATATAGGACATGTTACTGTGGCTTCTGTTTGTCCAAAACTTGATCATTTATGTTTATGGCGAGCTACAGGATAAGCTTGTTTGCGTTTTGGATTTCTGTGTGAAATCCCATTGATCATGCATTCACCAATTAGAAGCCTCATTCACACTGAGCAAAAACACTTGAATTTCAACTAAAACCCTAGAGCCCTGTTCTTACACATAAAGTGACATGGGCTTAACCCGACTCTCGACCTCGTTTTTTTGCCGATGCATGTAAACACTAATTTAGACAGCAGTGAAACCAAATATTTTTTTATAGCTGAATTCAAAGTAAAGAGTTCATTATGTGTTCTTGCCGTAATAGGTTGTTCTAATAAAACGACAAGTGTAAATTAAGCACCTGGGGTATACGTGTGGGTCTGGGGAACAAGGTGATACACACAAGTCGCACAAGGGACAACACTTTGCATATGTACAGCGTAACAAAAGTGAAGCTCTTACTATGTGCTGCTTTTTCCTTTATAAAGTTGCAGAGGAGAGTTGACAGTTGTGTGTCTCGTCTGTGTGAAAAAGCTTTGGTGCTTTTGTGTGTGTGTGTGTCATATTGCTGTCATGTGTTTTGTTGGAGGGTACTGTAGGGATTGATTCTTGTTTTGTATTGTATTTTAGTGTGTCTGAATGGCTAGGAGGAGCTTCGGTTCAATATTTTTTTTAAATTTTTGTTTATTATTATTTGTATGTCTTGTGCATGTCTAAAAGTAAACCACTACTACTACTACATGTCCTCTGTAAAAACATATTTTTAATTGTCTCTATTGCTCCACATGGATGAAAAACTTGCCGTAGTCCTTGCCGTAGTTATAATGTGATTCCCTCAGGTCCTGGCTGCTTTTTAGCGAGTCAGAGGACCACATGCAATGACACAGAGGGCCTCAATCGGCTCGTGGGCCTGAGTTTGGACACGCCTGCTTCAAACAATTCTAAATAAACTTGTACATATCGAACGACGTACAGTGGATCCTCTTCAGTTTGTGGACCGTGCTGACATGCTTTAAGCCTGTAATTCTCCACAGGCTGTATATAAAACAGCTCTAGAGACAAATCTCAGTGATAAAACACTCTGACCCTGGACTTTAACCCGATATCTGAACATAAAGACTGTCGATTATGGAGCACCCTGAAATCTCCCATCTGTTTTGGGCAGTCATCACGCTTCGCCCTCATCATCTCTTGTATCAGCGCTCAATCTTTGGAAGGAAGTCGGACTTTTTAAGCGAACAATTTAATGACAGCTTCTGGGGGAATCCTCACGTCTTTCCCCCCGGACTTAAAAAGGAGTCGGGAACACCTGATAGCTGAGGAGAATGTCTATCAATCGGCGTGACACGATTTGGTTTCGGAGGGCTGTAAAAAGTTGAATGTATGGCACAATAACAGCATGGGATCCGGGCGTTTGGACCAGATGGACGTCTTTATACAGAACATAAAGCTCCGGGGACGGGAAAATGTGAGAAAACTCTGCGAAAACCACTTATCATTTTCAACAGAGGAGTGATGGGCGGGAGATGGGTTGTCTCTGGGATAGACCTAAAACCAAACTTGCTGCTATAAACGTTGGGAAACCGTTACAAATTTGCTCTAAAAAAATCAACATTTATTTTAGAATTTCCTCATTAAAGTCAGAGTAGTGCCTTTGTCTTAGCTTAGAGAATTTCTCTGTCTTCTGTTTTTTATTTTTGCTAAAATAGGAGAACCTAAGGTAACATGTTTTCATATAATTTACTTTCATTACTTATCATTTATAAATGTTAAGTAATCATAGACTAACGAAGTACCTACATATCTACAAATATCTATTTTACATTTACAAACAATCAGCTAAAGAATACCAACTCATTAACAAGTTGGTAATCGCTCACAAAGGATTTCCACAGGATTTAAGTTCATTCATACATGTTGAATAATACCAACCAAAATTTGACATACTGTACTGCACAAAAACATGGAGGTATTTTATAATGATTCCATTCTGGATTCCAGGCAAAAAGCTTTTAAAACTTGCTATGTTCATAAAGTTGAGACTGTTTTGTTGATTTCTTTCACGGTGAAAACATTTTCTTGTACTTTTTTATAGCTTAGTTTACTTGTATGTACTTGTCTGGTGCACACTGGGGTACATTAGCACATGTATTTTTATTTTAACTATATTTTAACTGTTTTTAAATGTATGTATGCGACCTTGAGTGTCTAGAAACATGCCTAAGACATGATAATTGTATTTTTCCAATGTGGTTTTACTGCAAATTGCAAAACTAGACTGAAATCTGAATCTGAATCATCTCCTCACTTCACTTACAGCTCTATCTCTCTAACATTAGCTAAACTGAAGAAAAAAAAACAGCAACATCCAAGTCTGCGCCTGAATGCATGGATTTGAATAAGTGCAGACATCAACACTGGGACGTCCCGGAGCACAGCGGGTCCCCGGCTGAGGCTCTGGCTGCTCCCCTCAAAGAGAAACATGGGGGACACACTGGGCTGTCTTCAGTCTGTGGAGACTCGGCCTCGCTGTAACTCTACCCACTGTATCTTAACACGGGCTTTGTTCTCACATTAGCAGACTGTAGGTGCTCCATTTGTTACCCGTGACCTGTGTCATAACAGACCATGAAGCAGCAGAGGGGAGGGCGGGGGAGGAGGGGGGAGTCACCTGGCTGGAAGAGAGCGGGGGGAGTAGATGTGGGAACAGTGCAAGGCTTAAAATTGTAGCAGAAATGATAGATGCCTTGTGTAGTGAAAAAAATAGTGGGAGAAAAGAATATCCCAGAGTAATGTTTGTGTATTGAGATTATAATGTAAGATTATTGTGGGGAAATTGCAAAAAACACTTGTATATTTAATCCTATGTGTTTTTTTATCATTGCATTTTCTGTGTGTTGCCGAATCGACAGCTTTGTAGAGTCCTCTGAGAAAATCACTGTTGAGATGTTGGGGTGTACAAAAACACATTGAATTGAATAAAACCAATTATATATGTACTTATTCTACTACTAATACTACTTTAACGTTATGGGGTTATGTGTCTTCTGGATCTACAGCCCGTCTGTCCGTGAGAGCAGACTTCTCTCTCTCAAGGTTTCTGAATTTATTCCTACACATTTTTATGAGTCGTTCCTTGCCGATGGAGGAGGGTCTAAGAACAGAGATGATCCAGGACATTAAGGGACATTTCTTTGACATGGGTGAACGGTCTGGTTGTTAGTTTGTTTTGAGCCTTTTAATACTGTCCTCCTCATAAAAGGGGTCCAAACAACACAGCAACCTTTCCCGTTGCTGTCCTGGATGCAATATATCTAACCCAAACTCTAATATTTACAGTCTATGGGCACAACACAGCACTCTAACACAGGTCTGTAGTATGAGATCCCTTTTACAGTATTTTAGACTTATGTACTTCTTTGTTATGCTAAAGATAGAGATTTTATACTTGCTATACTTCTCCTGATACATTGATTTGACTTGATAAAAAACTGCATTAACGAAACTTTTTACCATAATTTTTTTTGGTAATTGTCTGTTCTATTAATAGCCCCAGACTTTGTGCATGATGTCACAGTATCTAACGCCACGTTCCAGGATCACAGACATTGTTTTCCGGAATGGTAGAATGTGTTGTTTGGCTGGAGCCCTTTGGAGATTACCACCCGCCATGCAACACCTGCGAGCTGTCAGTGCCTGCTCCTCACACACACAGGAAGTGGTGACAGACGACAGGAAGTGCTTGGCCAGAGGGGGGGATCCGATCCACGCCGCATCAGTCGCTATCTGCACCCAAGAAGCTAACGCCAAAGAGGAAGGAAGGAAGGAAGGAAGAGAGAGAGAGATAGGCACTCGAGGGACCAGGGGAGAGAGGTGGCTTTTGGATGGAGAGGCTTGTCCGTCAGTGGGTTGTGTGTGATTGTGTGTGTGTGTTTGAGGGGGACATGGGGGGATGTGTGGGGGGGGGGGGGTGTAAAAGGAGGAAGTGTCCCCGATGGTGTGGACAGGGATGACGCGCTGTTGTGAAAAGACTGGACCCACCTGTGAGAGGGGCCAATGAAACACATGTCAAGTTGAGTTGGAGGTAATTTTGATCCCACAAGGCATTCATTATAGCTGTGTGTGGGATGGAGGCAGAAAAAAAACAGATTTTTTTTTTTTTTTTAATCATTTTAAACCTGGGATAAACTTGTTTCGGGATTTTGCTTCATAAATACTATATGTAGATTGGCCCAGAAGCAAGAGTTTTGGTTAATTCATTTTTTGCGAAGGAATAAAACCACAACATACATACGTCTTTAACATTTTGGCCCTAAATCTTACATAAAAATTTTCCTTTTTTTTCCTCCCAACAGAAGTCTTGTAAACATACAAGTGTGTGGGGAAAATCAAACTACATGCGGTTGTGATTTTATTATAAACATTTGAATCAGAATAAATATTGTTTTGCCTTTGAAAGTAACAGGAAGTCAAAATAGTTATAAGACATGTATACAACATTTCTTTAAACACCATAGACATTTAACCGGGCAGTAAAGTGACGGGCGTAAGGGCAGGGGTCAGTGATTGATGTTAAAATAAGATCCATGTGAGTCACTATTTTTGCTGAAAGCTGATTGGCTGAATCTGGTCCTCTATTCTGTCTGAAAACATTGCTCTAAAGAAACAAAGAAACAACAAATATATACTGATATAAATGGATTTTATTACTTAACTATATTTCCTTGTGGTTTGAAATTCAGGTACCCCAGCTTTATCCTGACCCCATTTCCTCCTGCACCGGGGCGAAACACGACGGCACATGTCCACCTGCTCCAGACACATCCCAGCCCAGTCTCATTCTCGTTAATCACATTTAAATGCGGTTGCGTCTGGAGAGGTGGGGGGTATGGTCTCCCCCTCTGCCCATCGTCCAGGCCTAGGGGTCCTGTCTTGGGGCATGCAGGCTCTCTCTCAGCTCTGTCCTCTTCAGGCCTGGGGGGGTCTACGTCGTGACCCATCGCCCCTGTGAAGCAGACTGACCCCACAGACCGGCTGGCTTCCCATTCCCACTGCTATTGTAATTTAACTACTGACCACTTGCCTGTTAGCATAATGATAAGAGATAGCAACACCTTTTGAATCCATTTTGCCCCTTGGGATAATGACACACAGTTAGAGGGATGGGGGGTTTGACAGGGGCACAAAGCTATCAGTGCCGGGACGGTCCCACCTCATTAAGGCTGAGGGGCATCCATCTTGGTGAAGGTGTCAATGCGAGCCGCTGGTAATAGTTAAATAAAAAGTGTATGTGCGAACGATTTGGCAAACAAGCCACTCAATGGGTCCATTAGGAGTTTGATTAACAGGACCCTCCATGAAACCACTCACATGTGAAACTGGTTTAGATAAAGAGAAGAAGAGGAGGACGTTTGTGAAGTTGTAATTGAGTGACTTGATTAATGGCAGTTAAAAAAAAAATTGTAAATAGTGAATGAAAATGAAATCAACATTAACCTATACAATCCCCTTGTAAAATTGAATCAATTTGTTTTAGTGTTTCCCAAAATCACAACAACAGGCCTCAAAGAGGGACGTCACTGAACCTCCAACATCCAACGGCAGTCTGTGGACTGGTCTTCTGCTTCAGAGAGTCCAGGGTTTTAGTAAGTAGTAAGTAAGTAAGTAATCTTTATTTATATACCGCCCTTCACAGACCAGAGTCACAAAGTGGTTTACAATTCTTATTTTTGGGCATTTGTCCTCTCACTCCACACAGAGATGGGAGCGGGGTCGCCAGTACAGGAGGCGCATGCCAGACCTATTGTACATTTAGTACAATAGCACATTTTAGGCTGAGAACTGGTCTCTAGGTCCAGGAAGTCCAGAGTTTTAGGCTTGGGACTGGTCTTCAGGTCCAGGAAGTCCAGGGTTTTAGGCTGAGAACTGGTCTCTAGGACCAGCAAGTCCAGGGTTTTAGGCTTGGGACTGGTCCTCAGGTCCAGGGAGTCCAGAGTTTCAAGTCCCATCAGAATGTTCATGGAGCAGACAGAGGGTCAATGAGTAAAACAAGTCTAATTGGCAGTGAAGATTTCTAATCGATTTGAAAGTTTAAAATGGACAGTTGGAACAAATATTTATATAAAAAAGGGAAAGAAAGTTTGAATATCATTGTTCATACACAAGACAACTCAAAGTGCCGAACAAAACAAGATTTAAACAGTCACAAGAGGCATTAAAAATCACAGTATTCACATATATTTTTCACAAATTTTCATATCCAGACAAAAATTCCTCTAAGTACCTACCACCAATAAATATGTTTACTTTGACTTTAAAATTAAAGTAAGTCTAAAGAGATTTTTTAAATTTAATTTTCATGTATTCATTTAGTTCAGGCAATGCCACAAATACCTACAAGGCAGACAAATACAGTCAAGTCATATAGTGAATGTACGGCTCTGAATGAAAGCGTGATCCAGATTTTTTCCTGGTGATTGGGGGCCTCCAGCTCCGGGGCCCGGCTCTTCCGCTCTTCCATCACAGTTCAGTTTATTCGCACTCACAGCCGGCCATCCCTCGTAGCTACATGCTCCTGAATGCCCTCCCTGCAGAGCCCAGCAGGGGTTAAAACAACACAGGCTCCTAAAGACCCTCTGACATAACATGACCACAGGGGGCGCCCTTAGATACACTCTAATGTGCTAACGGAGCCATTAAGATGAATTTCTTAGTTTAGATTTGTAAGGAGAGTTGTGTTAGCTGGGTCGGGGAGTTACTATGTGTACCGAGAATGCATATTCCGAATACTACGGGTCTTGGGTCTTCCTCAGGGTCTCCGCCCAGTGGGACATGCCAAGACTACTTCCTCTGAGAGGCGTCCAGGAGGCACCTCAGCTGGCTCCACTCAGTGTGGACCAGGTTGATTTTCCTGCTTTTCTAAATTGCTCCGGGGAAATGTAGCTGGGCTTGTTCACACTAAAGGGTACAAAAGTGTGACAAAATGCCAAAAATTAGATTTTAATAATCAGAAGATATTTTATGTTTTTCATGTTTCCAAGCACCTCCTCTGTCCATTAGAAGTTGCTAGAACATAACTGTTTTATACATTAGACAAGTTTCCTATAGTGGCCCTGTTCATTTTATGTAACGGACGTGATGATTTGACGGAATGAGCTTTGTGGAAGTTTGATAGGTCTTTTCAGATGTCCACATTTGATTCAGAGATTCTATTTTTTTTTTACACAAAGTAGATGCAAAGTGATACTTTCATATTGTCAACCAATTAAATGTGAAAACAGACCAGATTTTTTTTTTCTCAAGTTTAATTTTTAGAGAAAAGAGGACCGTCCTCATCACGTCCGTTATACATTTTTCACGGGTCATTTAATTAATAATTTTTTTTTTTTTTCATTATTCCTTTTTATATCAAGTGATTCCCTTCTGTTGTGTTAACCATGTAAATCTTGTGGGATTTCATCTTCTGCTTTTTCAGACTGAGGACATTTTATTTTCTATGTAACTGGCGTCACAGTAGAATGGTCCAATCAGAGGCTCATTTGCTAAACATTTTTATGTCAATCTTTCCTTTAGATTTTTTCCACACTATCTCTTCAATGTGTCTGTGTTTCTTCCAATCTATGAAAGAAATTTTTGTTTTTAAGTTATAACCTTTTAAAGTCCAGATACTTCAATTGTCACTTTACTGTGAACACACTCAGCTATGAAACCCATTGGAACAAAATAATCAGGCAAATATTGTGTTTTAGGTGATAGCAAAAAATCTCCAAGCTCGGGGTCAGCTGTCAAGTGTCCTGGATCTTTAGCCTGTCCATGCATCTAATCTTTTTTACCTCTTTTTTTGTTGTTGTAATTCCTTGCAGATACAAGGGTCTAAGGACAGAGATTATCCGAGACATAGAAGGACATTTATCGCTCCCTATGGACCAAAGGCTTTCTGTGTTCTGTTATCGCATTACCTACAGTATTGAAGAAGATGACAAAGTCTGGGATCGCGTCTTTCATTCAGACAGAAGACATGTTTTATTGTCGATGGTAGAGACAGCACGAACAACACGAACAACAGAATGCAAGTGAATTATACAGAGCGGAGGCATGGAGACCTCCAATCAGCAGCTGCCACGGTGTGCTTGTAGCTTGGCCTTCAGATAGACAAAACAAGGGAAAAGTACTGACTTCTGCACATTGATAGAATGATGAGTTTAACTTTAACAAAAGTTGCTTAAAAGTGTTATGAAATCTCACAGTATATATGCTCGAACTGTTTGATTCTCAATTTTTTTATTGGTGATTCGATAACTTTGCATTTATGATTAAGGGGTATGGACCAAAGTTTTTACTGGGATGGTATTCTCTCTCACTCAGAACAGTCCCTACTTTTCTCCCAAAGTCAACATTTGTTCTGTGAGGCATTTAAGTTGGAAAACGCTTTGATGTGAAGAGAAAGGGAATAGGAAAACTTACATATAGGAACATAGAGCCAAGGTTTGGATGACCTATGTCTATAAATGTCTGTAGATGTCGATGGATGTCCAGGATCATCGCTGCACTACAAAAAGTGATGAAAAATAAATCAAAAAATGCTCAAATTTGGCTAAGTGTATCAAGTACATTTTGTCTGCCTTATGGTAAAACAAGATTTACCAATGGGACAATGAGCAAAATGATCTTGTTTTAAAAAGATACAAGAAATGTCTTCCTTGGAATGAGAAAATACAGCAACAGTTCTTGAAATAAGACTACAGTACATGGCTTTCTCCCATTGAATCAGAATCAACAAAGACAGAAGTCTCAAACCACAAAATTGGCAAATTTTGTTTTAAGACAGTCACAATGTCCTCAACATAGAATAAAAACCACTCGAATCAAACAATTATTACCTGATGTTTTAGCCTTTTTTGCCGTGTACCGTCCTTTGACCCTCTTGCACCTGTCTTGACCCATCCCACCACCGTAAACAACATCCGACCCAATCCGAGCGCATCATTTACTGAGCTCGCGACGCAACCGGATCCCCCTTACAGCCC